TATCTCTGGTACCTGCCCGTTGACGTAGGTTGACACACCGTCACCGAACCACGTAAAACCTCTGTATTCTTTATTTGCTTTCTTTCTCGTTTTCTCATAACAAGTGGTATCAAAGCCATATCTCATTGGTTGAAGATGTCTTCGTATAAGTTTGATCTGAAGAAGTTTAATGGGGTCTAATGACTTCACGCTCTGGAAGGTCAAGATGAGGGCACTTCTGGTTTAATAAGGATGTGCGGCTGCGTTGGAGGGAGAAGACAAGTTTTATAAAGACACGAATGAGGAGATAAATAAGGAGATTTTGGCAAGGGCTCATTCCGCGATCTTGTTGTCAATTACTAATGAGATATTACGGGAGGTTGTTGATCAGACGACGACTTATGGGCTATGGAATAAACTGTGTGAGAAGTACCAAAACAACTCTATCACGAACATGCTATATCAGAAGAAATGTCTTTATACTCTCCAAATGTCCGAAAGTACTCAGGTAAAGGATTATCTTGATACCTTTAACCGTATCATTCTTGATGTTTAAGGGGTTGAGGTTAAAGTAGAGGATGAAGATCAAGCCCTAATTTTACTGTGTTCACTACCTGGTTCATATGAGAATTTTGTAGATAATATGTTATATGGTAGAAGTACAATTTCTGTTAATGATGTGAAAGATGTCCTTATGTCCAAAGAATTGAAAAGAAATGTTTCTCTAGAAGAGGGTTCTGGTTTAGGTCTGTTTGCAGGTAGGGAAAGACCACAAGAGAGGGGTAACGGAAACGAGAGGTCGCGTTCAAAATCAAAATCCTCTAGCAAAGTTAAGTGTTATCATTGCAATGAGAATGGGCACGTTAAAAGGGATTGTCCACATAAGAAGAGAAATACAAAAGTTGATTCTAGTAACAGTGGCAGCAGTGTGGTACAAGACAGTTCTGATGATGGGGACTTTGGTGAAGTTCTAACAGCGTGTAGTGCTAGTACTGCTGATTCCTGGATTATGGATACCGGTGCTTCTCACCATATGACATTCTCTCGTGATTTACTCACTCCTTTTAAAAAGTAGAATGAAATGGTCAAGTTAGGTAATGATGGGGCTCTAGCCATAAAGGGGAACGGGATAGGGCAGATAAAATTGCATGACGGTACTGTCAAGAAATTTGACTGTTGGTATGTTCCTGAATTCAGAAAGAATTTGATTACTCTTGGCACCTTAGCCAAGAATGATTTAAAATATCATATTGAAGGTGAGCGGGTGAAAGTCCTGAAAGTAGCTCTGGTGATGATGAAGGGAAAACTGCAGCATGAAATTTATTTTTTACAGGGCAGTTCAGTGATGGGAAAGGCGGTGGTATCCCAGTCCTTGGATAAACATGGCGACAGGACAAATTTGTGGCACAGTTGATTAGGTCACATAAATGAGCTAGGGTTGTCTGTGTTGAGCAAGCAGGGTTTATTTGGTGGGAATGTGATAGGTAAAATTCAATTCTGTGAGGCTTGTGTAAAAGGGAAGCAACTCAGGGTGAGGTTTAGTACCGGTCATCACACTTCAAAAGAAATTCTGGAGTATGTTCATTCAGATCTATGGGTTCCCTCTCCGGTGAAATTGCAGGGCGGGTGTTCTTACTTTTTCACTTTCATAGATGATTATTCGAGAAAAGTCTTATTGTACTTTCTGAAGACTAAAGATGAGGTGTTTGGGAAGTTCAAGGAGTGGAAGACCATGGTTGAAAAACAGACGGGTAAACAGGTCAAGACTCTAAGAACTGATAATGGGTTGGAGTTCTGCAACGCTCCATTTGATAATTTCTGCAAGAAAGAAGGTATAATGAGACACCGCACTGTACGACACAAACCACAACAAAATGGAGTTGCAGAGCGAATGAACCAAACCCTCATGGCGCGTGTTAGGTGTATACGCATATTTGCTGGCTTATCTAAGCAATTCTGGGCTGAAGCAGTTAACACTGCTAGCTATTTGGTTAATAGATCTCCATCAACTGCAATTGACTTAAAGACTCCTCAAGAAGTATGGTCCGGTAAACCTTCTGATTACTCTAATCTAAGAATATTTTGATGTCTTGCATACGCTCATGTGAATGATAGTAAGTTGGAGCCGAGGGCGGTAAAATGCATATTTCTAGGGTATGCGATAGGAGTAAAAGTTTATCGACTGTGGTGTAAAAAAGGTAAAAATCATGGTAAATTTCTTATTAGCAGAGATGTAACATTTGATGAATCTGCGATGCTTGATCAGAGTAGAGGTTGTGAGAGTATTGAAGGTATAAAAGATTGTGGTGCTGACCAGAGGGTGAAGTTTGAGACTCCTGACAGAGTTGTGTTAGAGAAGAGCAGTAGGATAATACTATTGATCAATCCGATCAACCAGATCAGTCAAAACCTCAAGGGAAACCGATTGAGGGGGAAGCTGATGATGCTGGTACTGGGGTTGAAGATTCCATAGCAGCAAGAAAAGGAAATAGAAATATTCAGAAACCAGGTAGGTTTGCAGGATGTGTCAATACATGTGACATGAATTATGTGGCTTATGCACTGGCGGTTGGTGATGATCTTGGCTCTGATGAGCCAAAGACATAAAGAAGCTGTGGCGAGTAAAAATGTAGAAACCTGGTTTTGGCAATGAATTGAGAGATGCAGTCTTCTTGAAAAGAACAAGACTTGGGATTTTGTTGCACTACCAAAATGGGTGAAGCCAGTGGGATGCAAGTGAGTCTTTAAGAGAAAGAAGAGAATTTCTGGTGTTGAACCTGCTAGGTTCAATGCGAGATAGGTGGCAAAAGGGTTTTCACATAAGGAAAAAATCGATTACCATGAAGTCTTTTCTCCTGTGGTGAAACACGAAACCATTCGGATTTTTTTGGCAATGGTGGGTGCTTTTGATCTGGACCTGGAGCAGCTTGATGTAAAAACAACATTCATTCATGGTAATTTAGAATAATGGATTTACATGTCTCAACCGAAGGGATTTAACAGTCTAAAGGGACCAGGTATGCTTGTTAAAGAAATCTCTGTATAGCTTGAAGCAGTCTCCGAGGCAATGGTACAAGAGATTTGTCTCTTTCATGGTGTCTAATGGTTATACTCGTAATCAGTTTGATAACTGTGTTTACTCGAAGAAAGTTTCTACTGATTCCTTTGTGTATCTGTTGTTGTATGTGGATGATATTTTAATTGCATCTAAAAACATGGATGTAATTAATGATTTGAAGGCTCTACTAAAGGGTGAGTTTAAGATGAAGGATTTGGGTGCAGCAAAGAAAATGCTAGGTATGGAGATCTGGCGCGATAGAGAAGCAGGATGGCTATGAGTTTCTCAAGAAAAGTATATTGAGAAAGTTCTGCAGGGATTCTCTGTTGATCAGTCTAAACCGGTAAGTACCTTTTTGGCGGCACACTTTAAACTTGATAGAAGCACTACACCGGCTACATATAAAAAGGTTAGCTACATAAAGACGGTTCCATATTCAAGTGCAGTTGGAAGTCTTATGTATGCGATAGTATGTACGAGACCGGATCTCGTTTATGCGGTTAGTGTGGTGAGCAGGTTTATGGCTAATTCGGGTAAAGCTCACTGGGGAGTTGTAAATTGGATCTTGCGATATTTGAAAGGAGTGTCTGATATTTGTCTGGTATATGATGATAAAGGCCATGGTAATGGTCTGGTTGGCTATGCAGAATCTGATTACGGGGGTGACTTGGTGAAAGAAGATCACTGACTTGTTTTATCTTCACTATGTTTGGATGTACAGTCAGTTGGAAGTCTACTTTATAACCTACGGTTGCACTGTCGACGACTGAGGCAGAATACATGTCAATGACTGAAGGTATTAAAGAGGGTATCTGGTTACACTGGTGTTATTCTGTGATAGTCAGAGTGCTTTAAGTTTGACCAAAAATCCAATGTATCATGAGAGAACCAAACATATTGATGTAAGGTTGAATTTTATTCGTGATGTTCTAGAGGAAGACAAGTTTTCTATTCAGAAAATAGCTACATAACACAATCCAGCTAATATGTTGACAAAGGCGCTACCGACGGAGAAGTTCGAGCACTGCTTGAACTTGGTGAATATTCGCATGAGATAAAGTCCTCTCGGGACATCTGGTAGGAATGAGACGATTTAGAGATACTGACGAACCTTTGGTGGTTGGAAAAACTCCAAGTCAAGGTGGAGATTGTTAAAACGTGACTTGGATTTAGCTGTCTACCCAATCCGAAATCAAAGCGAAAGAGTTGTTTCAATTGGTAGAGTCCCTTTTGGGCTTATCATAATTAATAACAAATAGACTTAGGGTTTAGAGTGTTTTTGGGTGCTTATAAATAGATAGCTATGGTTACTAGTAGTATGACATGATTGTAACTCTCTGAATCAGTATAATAAAATATCTCTGGTTTCTGCCCATGGACATAGATTGACACACCGTCACCGAACCATGTAAAACCTTTGTGTTCTTTATTTACTTTCTTTTTTGTTTTCTCATAACAATATTTTTTATTTTTTATATTATATTAAAAATTAATATTATATTTAAAATACCGTATCATACAATTATTTTAATTCACCTGCAATAAATCTGTTTATTTTAAGTTACTTTCCGAGGCTCTTTTACAAAATTTTAGACATAATCATCCAATATCGTTACCAAATAATTGAACTTCAATTGCTTTCATTTAAAAAATTTATTATCATAATTCATAATTACCATCACAAGTCGACTTCAATTAAAAAAAAAAAAAAAAAAAGAGATGAAAGTGCCAATTTATTTAATTAATTAGTTCATTACAATTAAAATAAAATAAAATAAAAGAAAAGAAAATAAGATAATTATCGTAATCTAAAACTGGGTCCCACATATCTCCCTTCCTTCTACCTTCCGCACACTGACATTGACACGTGCCAAAATCCCCCCCCCCCCCCTTTTTATATACCCCCCTCTTCAAATACCCCAAAACCCGATCTTATCCTACACCCCCTCCCCCCCCCCAGCGCACGTTAGTCTATGGCCGTCATCCGCTCCCGCCGCCCGCTTAACCTGCGCCTCCCCCTCCCAGAACCCTCCGACCGCCGCCCCCGCTTCCCCCTCCCCCTCCCCCTCCCCCCCTCCGCCGCTGCCGCCGCCCCCCCGCCACCCGCCGGAGCCATCTCCGCCGCCGACCTCGAAAAGCTCCAAGTCCTCGGCCACGGCAACGGCGGCACCGTCTACAAAGTCCGCCACAAACACACCGCCGCCGTCTACGCCCTCAAAGTCGTCCACGGCGACGGCGACGGCGACCGCCGCCAGCTCCTCCGCGAGGTTTCCATCCTCCGCCGCACCGACTCGCCGCACGTCGTCAAGTGCCACGGCGTCTTGGACCTCCCCGGCGGCGACATCGCCATTTGTATGGAATACATGGACGCCGGAACCCTAGAAACCCTCCTCAAAACCGGCGGCGGCGCCGCCGGATCAGTCGTCTTCTCCGAGCAAATCCTCGCCGGAATATGCCGCCAGGTCCTCGCCGGCCTCGATTACCTCCACTCCCACAAAATCATCCACCGCGACCTCAAACCTTCGAACATCCTCGTAAACCACGAAATGGACGTCAAAATCTCCGACTTCGGAGTCAGCAAAATCATGCAGAAAACCTTGGACCCCTGCAACTCCTACGTCGGCACGTGCGCCTACATGAGCCCGGAGCGGTTCGACCCAGACACGTACGGGTCGAACTACGACGGGTACGCGGGCGACATCTGGAGCCTCGGGTTGACCCTACTGGAGCTCTATATGGGTCATTTCCCCTACCTTGCGCCGGGCCAGAGGCCAGACTGGGCCACGCTAATGTGCGCCATATGCTTCGGCGAGCCGCCGCGGCTGCCGGAGACGACGTCGGAGAATTTCAGGAGCTTTATTGAGTGCTGTTTGCAGAAAGATTCGAGTAAGAGGTGGACGGCGAAGCAGCTTTTGTCGCATCCCTTTGTCAGCCGCCGCTGAAGTCGCCGGAAAATTTTGAACTCGCGGCGGCGACGGCGGCGGAGGGATTTTGGGGGTTTAGATGTAAATATGGGTTTTTTTTTTGTTGTAAATTATGAGAAGCTACAAGGAAAATCAATAAGAATCCTGTTTCAATTTCCGGCGGAAAATTGCTGGAGAAATTGACAGAAGTTTTTTATTTACCGTCGTTGAAATTTATTTTCGTTTTTTTTAACAAAATAATATTTTTTTATATATTTTTTTTTACCCAAAAAATATTTATCTTAGATATTTTTATTTTTAGACATTTTTTTTTAAAATTTATGTCTTTCAAATTAACAGGAATTTTGAGGAAAATAATAAATTTATCTTATTAATCTATCAAAATAAAAAATTTATATATAGACAATACTAAATAAATTTGATATAATCAAATTTAAATAATTTAATATATAAAATTTAATATTTTTTTGTTTCAATATAATAGTCTTATTTATTATTTTTTTTATTTCAAAATAATAATTTCATTTTTATAAATAATTATGTCATCATAAAATTATTCTTACTTTTTCATTTTTATTACACAATTGTCATTACTTTTTACACTAATACATTTACAAGGCAAAAAAGTTTTTTATCCATATGTTTTATTCACTACTAATATAATATCAATATTCTTTAAATTTTGTACACTTGAAGGTTTAGATTTTGAGTTGGGATTTGAACAGTAAAAATTTTGAATTTGAATAGTTGTATGATGTGATATAAATAGTTGTTGATGTGATGTTTTGAATGTAAAATTGATTTTTAGTATAATATAAAAAATAAAAAATAGGTGTTTGATTTGATGTTTTTGGAGAAAAAAAATTGGATGAATAATGTAAATCAAATTCAATCCCCCAAACAAATTAAATTTTTAAATTACTAAAACACCTCCAATTAAATTTAACTGTTTGATTGTCAATCAAAATAATTTAATATATTAAAAAAAATTAAAATATTCATAAATTTTGTACAGCATCGCGAGGATACTAAAATTTATTAAAATATTATTTTCTTTAAAAAAATAATTGTGTTAAAAAAATTTAACCATTATTTTATAAGACATTGGAATAATAATGAACTGCAGATAAGGTTATGTTAAGAAACAGTACCGCCGCCTTCCGCCCCATTGGTCCGCTGGCGCCACCGCTGGGCCCTGTCCACACGTGTGTTTGTTTGGGGTTTTTGATTTTGAGTTGAGATTCGAATAGAAAAAAAATTGAATTTAAATAGTTGTAGGTTGTAATATAAATAAGTATTGATGTGATGTTTTGAATGTAAAATTGATTTTTAGTATAATAGTCTCTCTGGGTAATTTAAAGTAGTGTAATGATATTTTTGCACTTGCTTTCTTGTGTAAAAATAATGATGTAGTGTAAAGTAAGGATATTTGTGAACAAAATATAATATTTAATAAAATGTTTACTTTATAATTGAACGTTCCAAAATAGAAATATATATACTTTCTAACTGGACGGATAGAGTATAAAAAATAAAAATTAGATGTTTAATTTAATATTTTTGAGAAAAAAATAGAATAAATAGTATATTTAAAATCCAATCCCCAAACAAACTAGCCGTTAATTTGCATTATTAATAATTAATATATATATATTTAATAATTTAATAAATATAATCTTACACCATAATAAAATAGGCTTATTTTAATTATAGCATTGGTAGAAGCAATCTTGGGTTTGGTCACATTTTATTTTATTTGGGTAAATTATTCGGCACTTCCTTGGTGTTTTTGTGTTTCAGTAAAAATATACAAAATATATTATATTTTATTTATGGTGTGAAATCCTTTGTGTTAATATAAAGTTTGCATGAAACAACATCCTTGTTCAAAACTAATATTTGTTCTAAATAAAGACCTAAATTACAATAATTTTATACAAGTAAGAATCATAAAATATTTTATATAATTTTTTAAATCAAATAAATAAATAAATAATTGATCAAATATTTATTTTTATAATTTTTGTAAAAATAAGATAACAATTTATCTTAAAAAACTATAAAATGAATGATTAGTCAATTATTTATTTATTTATTTTATTAAAAAAATTATTTAAAATATTTTTTATTTTTTATTTGTATAAACTTACTTAATTTAGGTCTTTATTTAGAATCAAACATCAATTTTTGACGAGGAAGATATTTCGTGCAAACTTTACATTAACACGTGGGGTTTCACACAATAAATAAAATACAAGGTATTTTGAACATTTTTACTAAATAAAACTATCCCTACTTTTTCACTTTTATTACACAATTGCCACAACTTTTTACACTAATACACTCATAAGGACAAAAAAATCTTTTATCCATACTTTTTATCAACTACCGATATAATATTAATATTCTTTAAATTTCGTGTCCATCCTAATTAAAATTATATTTATGGGACAGAGGAAGTACTACTTAAAAGAAATCAAAAATAAAAAATCAAACCAAACCCTTAATTATAAATAAAATCATTTCATATTTCATTTTATATTTTTTAATTGTCAAATCCTTGTAAATCAAAGAGTGAAACATTTTTCACTTGAGGATTAGTCGGTGGGTGCGTGTGTGCATGTGTTTGGGTAAAATTTCCGTCTCGGGTAAAAGGAAAATAAAAAAAAAAATAATTATTATAATTTGTGAATGTATATTATTAGCATAACCATATAATAGAATTTTATTAAATAAAATTAGTGTGGGACATAAAATATAAGCACATGCGCCCACGCCAACTTGCTAGTATTTATTTCCTTTTTGTTATCACATCGTTTTCACGTGCCAACTAACTTGTTTTCTAATAATAATAATAATAATAATAAAATAATAATAATATTAATAATAAAATAATAATAATAATAATAATAATTTAGTATTACATTATATTAGTATATTTTGGCAATAATTGAGGCAAAAGGACGTCCCCCCAACCCTACCAAGAAAAGTAGATTTATTTATTTTAATGTAGAAACCCTATAGCTATTTTTCGAGTGTATTTTGAATAAATTTTCAGTTGAATATAAAATTCTGAAAATTAGATTTGACAAAATAAGTTACAAGAGAGTTTTTTATAAAAATAAAAAATAAAAAATACATATAAGATGTGTTTGATTTTTATTTGAAATAATTTTTTTTTTATTTATTTATCCTGTACAATCTCCAATAAAAATATATTAGTTTTTTTTTTTATCTCGGTGCAAAGTTGTTACTTCCTCCGTCTCACTTATCATATTTATATTGTCGTTTCTATCCGTCTCACATCTCATGTCACTTTTCGTTTTTGGAAAATTATTACACATTTTAATCTCATTTTAAATTTTCTAATTTAATTTTTTTTAAATTTTAATTAAAATAGTGAGTTATCTTAATCTTAATTTATAATTATTTATATTATAGAATAATTATTTTTACTAATATATTTTTAATTATCTACTAATTATACTTATCATAAATTCTCATGTCTGGAGTGACACATTGTATTCGATATTAAAAATATATTTATATTTGAATAATTTACTTCAAAAATTTTATTGTATTTTGTGTTACTCCATAAGAGACTAATAAATATATTTTTGTCCTTTTATTGATTTGTACTACGTATTGATATAATAATTAATATTCAAATTAATATACAATAAACCAATAACAATCTTTTTGCAAGACTGAGGGAGTATTATTATTTTTTAAATATTATATCAAAATATTATTGAAACCAAAATTTAAATCATCCCAATTTAAAATAAAAATCAAACAAACCCATGACATTTTAATTAAAAAAAAAATCTAATAGATGTATATATTTTTAAATATTGAATTGATTAGATTAATGGAAAAATTTTAAACATGAAATAAATATTTAAAATGATAAAAATCAAACAAATTAAACCCATGATATTTTAATTAAAAAAAATTCTAATAGATGTATATATTTTAAAATATTGAATTGATTAAATTAATAGAAAAGTTTTAAACATGAAATAAATATTTAAAATGATATAAATAGATGTCGAAAAACAATAATATAATATATAATATATTTCCGTCCCAGATACCATGTCCATGTTGTCGTTTCTGTCCGTCCCACATACCATGTCACTTTCTTTTTTTGGAAAATGATTACACACTTTAATCTCATTTTAAATTTTTTAATTTTAATTAAACTAATTAGTTATCTTAATCTTAATTTATAATTATTTATATTATAGAATAATTATTTTCACTAATACATTCTTAATTATCTACTAATTACACCCCTCATAAAATACCGTGCCTACAGTGTAACACGGTATCTGGGACGGAGGGAGTATATTATATAATCTCATATAACACAATATGTGTTAATTTCAACACAATATATAATTCACTCGACATATATCTTTATATAACACAAAATACTTATTTTGTTTTGTGATAAAATGATAATTGTTTCAAGTTGATAGGGTAACTTGATCATATGTTATCTGTCTTGTGATAAAATGCTAGTTGCTTCATATTAGCACGCTAACATAGTTAAATTAAGACTATGCTGATTTTACCAAATCAAATATATTTTGTATTTTTCGTTTATATCTAACGTACGATACAATGCTAATTTTAATTTGAGCACATATTACATATAAAATTAAATTATTCTCATTATTATTGCTAGTTTTAGTTAAGGCACAACTAAATTGTACTCTCTCCGTCCAAAACAAAGTGCAATATTTACTTTTCACAGGGATTTTTAGGTGGCTAGTATTAAGTAGGATAATTTAAAAATTAGGTAATGTGATGGAGAGAGAAATATATATTTTATTTTTTTATTTGGATGATGTGAAGGGATAAAGTGTGGGGTATAGATTAAATATAATTAATTATTTTCTATTTTGGAAATGTTGCACGGTGTTTGGGATATACTAAAAAAGAAATATTACGGGGTGCTTGGGACGGAGAGAGTACAATTTTGGTAGTTTCTTTATAGTCTTGCAATATATTTTTATTTGTAACTAAGTTTTATGAGTCCTATTTATAAAATTAAAAGATTAAAAATTGAGTATAATTGAAAAAAAAAAAAAAAAAGGAGAGAGAGGGAGAAAATATTGCAAAGACATACTGAAGTAGGGGTTTATTTGACTATTGGTTAAAATTGATTTGATTTTTTATTTAAATAGT